CCACAATGACTCAGATAGAGTCACAACCAGCCTGAGTCTTAGGCAATCCCACTACGAAGTCCATGGAAATGCTCTCCCATTTCCACTGTGGAATCCCAAGAGGTTTAAGCTTACCGGACGGTTTCTGGTGTTTAATCTTCACTTTCTGACAAATCAAACATTTGGACATATAGACTACTAGGTCCTTCTTCATGGCCGACCATCAGAAATTTCTCTTCAGGTCTTGATACAACTTTGTAGCGCCAGGGTTGATAGTGAATTGGCCCTTATGAGCCTCTGTCATCACCTCCACAGTCAATGGACCTCTGGGTACCACAATGCTCTTCTGGAACATCATCAGTCCATCCTCATTCCAAGATATACCATCTTGGTTTTTCACATAGTCCAGGAACTCTCTTTGCACTTGTGCCTCTTTAATCTTCTCCATCAGCTCATTTTCAACTTGCACCGTTTCCATTTCAATAAGTGCACCCCAAAATAAGGAGGTCACCGTCAGATCTTAAAATTTCTCAATCACAACATTAAAATTGTCATTCAATTCTCTAGGATCACCAGTAACTCTATCAATAGAGGTGACTTGACCCCATATACTCTATTCCTTACAATAATCTGGGGTGAGTTTAGATCTTATTCCATGACTCTAACCTCATCTCGACTTACAATTTCTATAAGTCAAAACTTTCAAAATAAAATCATATTTCTTTCACAATACGAAATCATAATCATGTTCATTTCAATCAATATATGTTAGTTAATATTCTAATTCACATAGTAACGTACCTTAGTTCACGTACACCTGCAAAATTTTCAAGTCCAATAATAAATCGAATACTCTATGCAATAGTCTACCTCAATCTCCATGGCATCTGCAAAATCAAAAGTCAAATAAGGATGAAATAACATCGATACATTACATAATTTATCGTACTTATTTCATGCTTAGCACTACCCATGGTGTTAACATGCCAACTACATATGAAGCAGGTCAATAATTTACATATTAACCTAGAGTCATGGAGACCACTCAACCCACAAAACTAACTATACATGCATTAGCCTCGCATATACAAGATCGCGTGTGGCCTTGCCACACGTCCAAGTGTTACACACTTAACTCTCTAAAGAGAAGTTCACTTTCTCAACAAACCTGACTAGAGAGTGTTCCTCACTCACCAGCAATAAGATATCTTCTCTTGCATTTTTTTTATTTTTTATTTTAAATAAAGCACCATCACAAGATGTAATGGCATAAGGCATCTTACCTTTCATGCCAAACTTGGCATATCACTCTTCGTATATTTTACTCATCACCCCTTAGTGCTTGGAGAGTATAAACTCATATTTCAAGTCTCTTAATGCATTATTATACCATGAGGAAAACTAAAATTGATTGATCTGTGCACCTCGTGCACCCGGACCACTCGGTGTGTCAAACTCAAATCGGTGCCCTCATGGAACTTCTAAAAGTCAACACACTTAGGATCCAATCCCCAAAGGGAAAGCCATCGCAATAAATAAGTGCACCGTCCCTAAGTCAAACAATACATCACCATAGTATCTCCAACATGAGTTATACCTCTCGCAAGGTGTGGAGCTCGGTCCGTCTGCTGACTATCCGACGTATAAACTCGGCCGGTCTCAAGTAGTGCAGGAATCATTTGGAATGGTACCACATGAGCAACCGCAGCACTAGCGACATGTGTAAAGCAATCTCTAGAGTAGTGTACCTTCTTGACACACTTGAAGCATATCAACTCACCCGAAGCACAATGTCCCAAATGCTCCTTCTCGCAACCTGTACACTTCGGGATAGTCGAAGATCCAGCAAAGTTGCCTACCTGAGTAGTAGACCTCTTGAATTTGTTGCACAGTTGCTTGGCTTGTAGTTGCTTCCCTTTACCTTTGCCTCTAAGCTTCCTGTCCTTCCAGGAAGTGGAACTACTGGTTCCCTTAGCCTCAGATTCTTTGACTTTCTTTGCCTCGTGGTTCACTTGAACCTTCTCGAAATCACAGCCCTGCTGAATATAGGTATCGAAGTCTTTCGTTGTTGACCCAAATATCCTCTCCATTTAGCACCTTGTAACAGTTTGTACCCTTGCTGCTTGCTCCATCTTTGTAACGCATCTTTTGACAAGGTGACCTGGCTGGTCACATCTAAAACATACTTTTTGTTCTTGCCTGCACGTACCCTTATAAGTCTTTCCACACGTGCTGCACTTAAGCAACGAGGATTCATTTCCAACTAGCATCCCTTTAACTCTGCTCCCAAACTGATGTTGGGATGGAGGTGGTGGCAGCGGAGGATGTTGGCCGTCATGACAACTAATTCTCATCTCCTCCAATACGACCCGTACCGTGGTCATATACGCCAGTCGATTCCCCTCTAATACATCTTCAATGGCTTTCCGGTTTGTCTCTTGATAAACCTTTGGTTTACCATGTTCTTAGGATAAAATATACAAGAGTTATGTAGTAGAATGCATGGAATTCAAGGTTTTATAACATATAAGTCATAAAATAAGAATTTGAGCTGATGTTTTATAGTTCTTTGCATTTTGAAGGTAAAACCACACCTCTTGGTGCTAAAAAGTGATAAAGAAATCATGACAAAGAAGCAGCGGCTCAATATGGACCAAAGGAAGCCAAAATATTACAATTCAAGGGCCAGAAGAGCACGCTCAAGCGCACAAGAGGACACTCGAGCGCTTCATAGCAAGGAAAACAGCCAAACTGGGCAATTCAGGGCGCTCAAGTGCCCAACAGCACACTCAAACGCCCAAGAATACAAAAAATAGTCTTAAGGAGCACGCTCGAGCGCCCATTAGCATGCTCGAGCGCGCTTAGGCAGACAACAACAGCAATTTGAAGCAATTCAGCACGCTCAAGCTGCCAACAGCGCGCTTGAGCGCCCAAGCACATCCTGACAGCAAAGATTTACTGTGATTTAATGAAGATTTGCCAAATTGCGATATCCGGAACCAAAACGGAAACATTTCAAAAGATATTCATGGGAAGATTGAAGAAGGATATAACAAGATTCAAAGCTCAAATTTATCAACCAATCTACACGATCTTAAATGCAAAAAGGAAACAATCATGAAATCAATTACAAATCTGATATGGATTCGTTGGAAGATACAATAAAGGTTGTGGCTTTGAAGATTATAAATAGGTAGCTGAAATTCAGAAACCAATACACAAGTCCAAGACTGAAGGAGGAATCCTATTGCGGAGCACTGGAACACTGAGGAACCAAGTCAACATCACACCAATGGAGGCTTGGGATTCTCTTTTCTTTATTATTGTTTTTCAATTCAGTATGCTAGAGTAGTCTTTTATGTAGTTAAGGGTAGATGGAACCCAATTGAATCTTTATTTTATGATTTAAATTGTCTCTGAATCCTGTTCTTTTTATAATTGAATAAATTATCCTTCCTTAATGCTTTCTATGAGTTTGTTCCTTATAGAATGATTTTGGGGGATTGTATGACAACAGGGATGTTGGTGCATGAACCCTGACTTGATAATTTATCATAATCCTTGTGATCTAAGAATAGGAATAGGAATAGGAATAGACATAGGATAATTATGCAATCTTGTAATTCTTGATCTTAATGCATGTTTTCTTGGGGAATAATCGGGGAACTAGAGTTCTTTCAAGATTACATAGATTTATGGTAACAAGGAATTGAGCCGTAATTAACTCAGATAGAATTGATTGGCAATATATTAAGAAACAGATTCTTGGTCATTTAATTCATAACATATTGAGGATATTGGGAGAAGTCGAAACCTTAACTACGTTTGTTTTAATTCTTAATCAAACATCATCATCTTTATTCATTCTTTTAATTCTGAATTTTCATAATTGCATACTTTTACTTGTTTTTAATTTTAAGTTCTTTGAATCACAACTCTCTTCATTTAAATTCTCTCAAACCAAACCTTTGATTGTCCAACTAAGACGCGATTAGCGAACTAGTGCTTGAAAATTCTGATCCTCGTGGGAACGATCTCGTACTCCGGTACACTTTATTACTTTCAAGATCGTTGCACTTGCCGAGTCGCAACAAGTTTTTGGCGCCGTTGCCGGAGATCGAATTCTTCAACATTAGAAGTAACTAATTCACTTTTAGATTGGACGTTTTAATTTTTTGCACTTTATACATTCTTCAAAAATATTTTTCTGCATTAAAATTCTGCATCAATTTTCTGCATATTTATTTTTCTGCATTCTTTGTTTATTTTTTATTTTTATTTTTATTTTTTATTTTTTCTGTTTTGTCTTTTTTCTATTTTTCTGCTCATCTTTTCTTAAGTTTATGCGAGGTACTCTTAACCCGCAAATCTTACAGTTTGATCCTGAGATAGAAAAGACAGAAAGGAAACTCAGGAAAAACGCAAAAGAAAGAAAAGCAAAAGAAGAGAAAGAAGCATCAAGTTCGTCAGAACCTAAGGAGGAACCGATGGCAGAAAACAATCAACTCGCTCCAAGGATGTTGGGGGATTACATGACCCCCGCTCGAGTTCCACAGATGGCAAGCATTGTTAGACCAAACATAGAGGCTAACAACTTTGAGCTGAAGCTGGCACTGTTGCAACTGATTCAAAAAGAACAGTTCGCTGGAGGAAGCACAGAGAACCCCTATAGTCATCTTGATAACTTCTTACTTTATTGTGATACATTAAAAGTAAATGGAGTTCCTCATGATGCTATCTTGCTCAGGCTATTTCCATGCTCACTGAAGGATGAAGAAAGAGATTGGCTGCAGTTTCTACCTGAAGGAAGCATAACCAATTGGGATGACTTAGCAAGGAAATTCTTGGCCAGATTTTTCTCAGCCTCAAAGATGGCAAGACTCAAGGCGGAGATCACTGCTTTTGAACAAAAAGACAGCGAATCTTTGTACGAGGCTTGGGAACGATTCAAGGGATCACTCAGGAAGTGTCTTTAACATGGAATTGAAGCATGGGAGAAAGCAATAATCTTTTTCCAAGGGATGATATCCAACACAAGAACACTGGTGAATGCTGCTGCAGGAGGCTCCCAGAAAACAAAAACTCCAGAGGAAGCGCTGGAATTACTGGAATCTCTAGCTTCTCAGGAATTTGACAATGCCCCTGCCCCAGTTGCACAAAGGAGAGCAGGAATTATAAAGATCGACGGCTATGATGCACTCTTAGCCCAAGATGAACAAATGCTAGAAAGAAAAAACAAGAACAATTAGATGCTATTAATAAAAATTTTAATCTGTCTCAAGTTTCTTCTGTTTCTAATTCTAATATTAAATGTGGTATTTGTGAAGAGGCTCATGCGACTGAGGATTGTGACTACATCAGAAATACTGAAAAGCCACCAGCAGAGGTAAACAGACTCTCGTATGATCAGAAGAATCAGAATCAACATCCAGGGTTGAGTCACAAATCCAACCATCAACTCAATCCTCTTCTTCCAGTGCAACCACATACCCCACAACAAAGTAACACTTCTGAGTGGGAGAAAGCTTTTGCACAGCTGTGCAAGACCACTTCTGATTATGTTCAAGGTGCAAATGCTTTCAGAGAGGACACATCTTCTTTCATGCAAGAGACTAGAGCAGCACACCGGAATCAAGAAGCTTCCATAAGAAATCTGGAAATTCAAATTGGCCAGTTGTCAAAGCAATTTTCCGAGAGAGCTCAGGGTACTTTTCCAAGCAACACAGTTGTCAATCCAAGGGAGCATTGCAATGCTATCACCACTAGGAGTGGGACAATGATTCAGCCTATAGAGGGGCAGTCCGAAGAAAAGAAGAAGGATGGAGAAGCATCAGTTGAAGAAGAGAAGGAAGAAAAGGAAAAGGATACAATTGAAGTTAACAAAAGCAATCCTGCAAAAGTCGAAAAGAAACTATTCAAGTGGGAGAAGAAGAAAGCTCTAGAAAGACAGAACAAGCCAGTGGATCTCTCCCATATGCTCGAATCCCTTGTCCTCAGAGATTAAAGAAAGATATTCAGAAGCAGCAGTATTCAAAGTTTCTAGACATATTCAGGAGGTTGCAGATCAACATTCCTTTTGCTGAAGCTTTAGAGAACATGCCCAACTATGCAAGGTTCATGCAGGATCTATTATCAAGGAAGCGTAAGTTGCAGGAATGTGAGACGGTGAATCTGACGGAGGAATGTAATGTTATCATCCAAAAGAAGTTACCTGCCAAAGTCAAGGATCCAGGGAACTTCAGCATTCCATGCACTATAGGCAAAGTGGAAGTGGACAATGTTTTATGTGATCTTGGAGCTAGCATCAATGTCATGCCACTCTCCATGATGAAGAAGCTGGGGATTACTGAAGTGAAGCCCACAAAGACGATAGTGCAACTAGCTGACCGCTCTTCAAAGCAAGCTTATGGCATCATTGAAGATATATTGGTTAAGGTTGACAAGTTCATCATTCTTGTTGATTTTGTCATCCTTGACATTGAAGAAGATGCCATTATTCCTATGATTTTCGGAAGACCCTTCTTGGCAACTTCAGGAACACTGATAGATGTACTTAAGGGCGAGCTGATATTACGGGTAGAAGGAGAGCAAGCAACTTTCAAGTTCTTTGACAAAGAAGTCCCCTCATCTGTAGCTCAACTTGAAGATCAAGTCTACTTTATTAGTGAAAAGAAGGGTGAAGAAGAAAATAATGAGGAGTCTTCTCAAGAAAGTAAGCCAAAAGTTAAGATGGACAAGCCTAGGAGCAAGGGAAAGCATATAAATACCAAATTCAAAGTTCTTGAGACTACTTTACCTCATCCATATACACAAGAGCACTGTGGTAGGACACAATTTACGAATGATGGAGCTTGGACGTCACCAAGCTTATATTTGAGCCACCATGAACGTAAATCAGGTACGTCAAGCTCGTGACGTTAAACAAGCGCTAATGGGTAGGCAAACCCACATTTTACTGTTTTATTTTAATTTCATTGTTTTTGTTATTTTTACTTTGAATTAAATAAAG